TAGGTCTTTAATTTGCAATGTTTCAAGGTTATCAGAAGGTGGTGGATGGTAAGTTCTTATTAACCAGGACTTTTGGCCCTATGCTAAAAGGTGAAAACTGAGGATAAGAAGGTGTGACAGGACTGAAAGATGAAGACAAAAGGGACATGAAGCATGGTCACTATGCTAATAGTCAGCCCCATAATATGTTGCTTCTACATCCATTGTCTTCCCCTTTTCTGCTTTCTATGAATGTGCAAGCAGTCATGTGTATTTAAGTACTTGATCTCTTAGAACAGAGAGAGATAGTACTGAGGATACTTTCTTGCTGGGACCTGAATCATTCAGATTTCTCAGATACTGAAAGGTTTTCCACAGAATGTAGAATTTTTAATTTTTTTTCTTTCTTTTCTTTCTTTTTTTTTTTTTTTGTGAGCCATGGGGCTTGAACTCTAGGCCTGGGCGCTGTCCCTGTGCTCTTCAGCTCAAGGCGAGTGCTCTACCTCTTGAGCCACAGCGCCACTTCCGGTTTTCTAGTGGTTTATTGGAGATCAGAGTCTCATGGACTTTTCTGCCTGGGCTGGCTTTGAACTGTGATCCTCAGAGTAGCTAAGATTAAGGCGGGAGTCATCGACGCCCAGCTCTTTTTCTTTTTTTAAGGAATCCCTTAAACATTTTTATGTATTGCCATATTGCCTTTTAGCCAATGAAAACATTTCTAATACAGGAATCATTATACCATAGATATGTAATTTATATTGATAAAAATGCAAAAAAGAAAATTGTTTTGAAAAAATAAAATAATCTTCACTGAGATGATTTATTCCAGAATCTATAATGGGTTGGAGACTATCCTCAAATTTTCACCAACACTTCTCAACCTTTTTCTTCTAACACCTTTAGTTTTGAACACCACCAAAAGCAGATGGGGGAGGGAGGATGGTATGTGTTTGAGGGAGGGTGGAGAGGGGTCCAAGATCTACAGAGAATGCAAGACACATAGAGATGAATTACAAAACTTTATTGGCTTGTTAAAAAAAACGAATGAATTCAGCAAATACATTTATCGTCTACCTGCATTGTTATAACAGCACTTAAAATAATTCTTTCAAATGGTTATCCATCATTTACAAGAAAAGTGAAAAATGGCTTGAAAAGCTGTAACATTATAAGGGGAACAGACAAGGCATGAAGATGATCATAGGCTGCCTCTGGATTGCAGCAAATGTAGTTGAACATGAAATGGAAGAAACCAAAATGGGAGAAACCCCAGGATTTTCTACTTTGAGTTTTCTTATACTCAATTCCTAAAGGTTCTGTTTAAAATAAAGTTAGTTAAAAACAATGTTGGTTCTTTTTTTCACTTCTCGTATAATTTGTTTTCACAGAAATTAAGTCTCCAAACAAAGCCACTGTTGTGTGGGGTAAGGGTTGCTTTAATATACTCTGGGTGCTCACTAGTGTCCATAAGGACACTACATGGCAAATGTGACCCCAATGAATCTGAGTCACCCTACGGTCACATTCAGATGGCTGAGAGGTTTCTTTGGTCCTTAAGACCAACACAAGGAAATGGGCTGTACTAAATGGCGACCTGCCCTTTATGACAGCCTTTTTTTTTCTTTAAACACTGTAGGCTGGGAATTCTATCAATCTAATTCCATCTATCATCGTTCCAATGCAAACTAAATTCAGAAGCATCCTTCCCCTTTCAGTCCTTAGATAAACTTAACATAGTCTGTAGGTAGTATACCTGTATGAACCAGATAGAATATACTCATATGGCTACTTCCAGTGCCTCTGAAATCTGCATAGTCTATCAGATACTTAGCTCCTCAGATCATGACATAGTCTCCAAATGTCAGAGTCAAGTCTTGTGTTGGAATCAATCTGCTGGGTGACTGACCCCATAGCGGGGAGGGATGGCAGGTGCAGCCATCAGCACAGACTAGTATCTGGTACAGCCCCATGACTGGGGACCGCAACCCTGTGGGAGCCTTGTCACAGGGGGCCACCTCCCCTCAGTATAGCACTCTCTCTGGATCTAGGGTCTGTACAAAATAAGATGAAGCAAGTTTCTCATGTAGTGTGATAGAAATAGATCAAAATCAAGGGAGGAATTTCAGGCAGCAAGCACTAAAGCAGGTGGAGGTGTGAATCATGGCCCTTCAGAGAGTGAGAGAATTGTTAGTATTATCCCATTTAGTACTTAGATTCCATTGTGCAAAGGGGGGTGGGGGGAGACACAAACAGACAAAAAAAAAACCCTTGAGTGTGTTATAATTAGGTAAAGCAATCAGTAAAACAAGAAGAAACTCTCTGTCTTGGGTCAGTTGAGAATCAGAGAGAGAGGAAGAAAAATTTAGAAACAGAGAGAGAGAGAAAGAGAGAGACGAGAAGGGAAGGAGGGAGGGAGAGAAAGAGAGAGGGAGGGAGGGAGAAAGAGAGAGAGAGACTGAGAGACAGAGAGAAATTCTATGAAAATAAAAGGGAGAAAGGGACAGAGGGAGAGGAGGTCCTCTCTTTTCTTGTTCACTTTCACACCCAGCAGGAAGCTGAATTCCTGCCTTGTGGTCCTTTAGTTATTTCTCCCGAAATTATTTTCCCTTCAGTAAACTCCAAAAAAAAAAAAAAAAAAAGTAAACTCCTAAAGATAGGTAGTCTCTGCTCTGCCCCGGGATGCACTCCTGGGGTCCTGCCATTCTGGGTCTAATTCAGGATCAGTTAAAGAGTGAAGTTCCCAAAGCAAACTCCCCTGGGTTCTGTTTCCCAGGGTGGGGCTGAGATTGCTTAGTTCTTTATCCTTGCTCTCTATTTTTGGAAAGAAAATTTGCTTGCTTGTATTTTGGTTGTCATCACAGTTAAGGGTTCCTGTCTCTGATGACAGTGGGTGTTTCTTAGTCTGTCTCCATTGTCCATTCCACAGTGGATAAACAAGACATAAGACCTAGACTACAATCATTAAAGGTCATGTCAGTCTGGTAAGCACACAATGTAGATAAGGTATGTGCACTTTCCCATGTCATCCTGGGTACATCTGAGACAGGTGGCATGCTAACAACAATAAGAAACCCAGGTCAGTCCCAACAGGAGGAACTAGATACATGGAAAGGGGCCAATCAGAGAATGGTGAGAAGATACTACTGTAAGAGAATTTCCAGCAAGGTGAGAAGGAAGAGGCACTCAATTGGGCAGGTGTAGCAGAGGGGGAAGAGCCAAGGTGAAGAACATACTGCAAATCTCATTTCATAGCTTATTGCGTAGAGCACTCAGTGGTGGCTAGGGAGAAAGAAAAGGAGTTTGCAAGCAAAAGACAGGTGGATCTGGTGAGCGAACAATGGCTGTGTTCAGAAGACAGAAGTAACGAACTGGCAGCCCACAGGCATGTTTTGTTGCCCTACATAATGTTTTAAAAATAGCTGAGCCAACTTTTTTAAAATAGGGATATTATACATTTTTTTAAAAATCCAGGTTTCACATCTCCTTTACAGACTGGAAACCTTCGTTCCTGGGGGACAGCATGGGCTAAAGCTGGATGATATCTGCCCTTCGGTTGTATGTTGGCTCGCCAAGGCCAAGGATACTTTGTGTGGGCAAGGAGACTTGCCTGGCCTTGAAGTGCCAAATCTTTGTTGGAGAAAAACAGATTTGATTATAGCAAAAGATGTTGCCTCTCCTTGTCAAATGCTGCAAAACACACACACACACACACACACACACACACACACACAAAATACAATACATGCCATTAGGAAGCTCTTAAAATGAAATTTTCTTAGAGAGAGCTGAAGCAAAGGATGAAAGAAGGAAGCCCATAGTATAAAGCAAAGCCAGGTTACTGATTATAGTCTGTAGGAATTAAAAGAGAAAAAGTAAAGAACATCAGTACCATCTGAGACCATTTTCTCATAGCCTGCTGTTTTCAACGCTCCTTAGGAGATGTGAAGCAAATCTGATATACTAAATTGCCTTATCTGTCTAGTTCTTTCCATTTGTTTTAAATCTACCTTTCAATCCTAGTTGTTGATTAAAAACAGTCCTTTCCCCCTACACTCTCACCTCTGGGAATCTTGTAAAATAGTCTTTAAACAATCCATCACTTTTTAATGGCTGCATGAAATAACATGAAAGTCGTTGTTGTTGTTGTTGTTTGTACCAAATGGCCGATATTTAAGAACCTTTGTCCTACTGAGCCCTGCCTGGCTCACAGTTTGAATTTCATTTTCTTCTCAGGGGTCAGGATTTCTGCTATTAGCTAGCCTCTTGGTAAGTCAACACCTCTGAGAAAGATGAAAATCTCAGTAGTGACAGGAACTGTCATTTAGAAGTGAGCAAAGGGGAATTTAGAGAATAGTCAGACCTCCCAGCACTGAGGTCTTTGCATTTTAATGGAACTGGAATGCATGAATTTGCCTTGGAAAAACTGTTCCTCTCTCAGATGCAAATAGGGAACAGGCAGGGTAAATGCTGGAATCCACAGGACCCAGCAGTAACATATTTAGTGGCTAATGTAAAAGATACAGTATAAAATATTCATCATGGATATTCTTTTTATGTCAAGTGATGCCTAAATGGGTCCTGGTTTATTGAGATTAATGCTTTGGTTACACAAGATTCAAAAGAAGGTACCAAACATGTTGAAATAGTTTTTTTTTTTTAATCTATAAATCTTTAAAGATAAACTGCAGGATTGGATCAACTACTGAAAACATTGTTTTTTTTTCTTTCTTCCTTTTTCCTTCCTTCCTTCCTTCCTTCCTTCCTTTCTTTCTTTCTTTCTTTCTTTCTTTCTTTCTTTCTTTCTTTCTTTCTTTCTTTCTTTCTTTCTTTCTTTCTTTCTTTCTTTCTTTCTTTCTTTCTCTCTTTCCTGGTTATGGGGCTTGAACTCTGGGCCTGGATATTGTCCCTGAGCTCTTCAGCTCAAAGCTAGTGCTCTACCACTTGAGCCACAGTGCCACTTCCAGTTTTCTGGTGGTTTGTTGGAGATAAGAGTCTCCCAGACTTTTCTGCCCAGGCTGGCTTTGAAGAGCAATCTTCAGATCTCAGCCTGCTGAGTAGCTAGCATTACAGGTGTGAGCCACTGGAGCCCAGCAAAACATTGGTTTTAACATGTTAATCAGTTTCCAATTCAACCATAGTGTAGATGGGAATGCCTAATAGAGATGATTGTGTTTTCTCAAATGCAATGTTCCAGGCTGAAGTGTCTCTCACAATGGGAGTAAGGAGGGGCCAGGTCGGGTAGCCTAGAAGCCATGCCTCTCTTCAGGACTCAAGATAGGAAAACTGTGTGGCCCAGACAAACAGAGCTTATGAAGGTCACTGTGAGGTCCAGATGAATGAAACAGGTGTTCCTAGGACAGAACATAGTGGGGACACAGCAATCTGTAGCTCTGAGGCTGCCCTCTCAGCAATGAGGAAGGCCATAAGAAAGCGTCTGTCACCTCGGTGCTGCTGGGGTCAGGACAAGCAATTCTGCCCATGAAAACCCAGCGGTAGGGCAGAATGCTGCAGGGGCACTGGCCTTCTTAGTCTATTCTCTCCAGCTCACAGCAGGTTTGCCTTTCTGCTTCCAGGCCTTTTCTGACTAGAAAAGCTGCAGCTCTGTAATGCAAACAGCATGAGAAACTGTGGCCTTTCCCTAGGAGGACTTCTAAAAAGCAGGTGGTTCACAGAGGGCAAATGAGAAGGAACAAGGTTACAATTTCACCATATGCATATAGACTACTCTTTGTTATGCTGAAACTGATTATGCCTAACCTGAATTGAAAGCCCTGATGGAGTAGCAGCTGTTTTGGTTTTTGCTGCTGCCCTCCTCTTTTTTCTTTTAGCCTGTGGATGAACCTTAAAATATTCACTAGTATTGTGTGATGCTGAAACCTAAGCAAAAAAAAAGTGGATTTTTTTTTTCCTGCAAACAAAGAAAAGCATCTTTCAATAATACCACAAAGTCCTTGGAACAATGATGTGTTCACTCTCTTTAAGTATCTGTATCACAGTACGTAGAAAAGGCAAAACTCCTTGGAGTCACAGCTGGTTAGAGAACAACAGGAAATGGTGTTGAAATAGATTAAATATCTATTACAGTTTTTAGTGTGCATTTATACCTATCCCTAACTTTATATAGATACTTTTTTCAGTTCACTTTTAATAAGCAAGCAATTGACATGGAGACATCCACACCTTTCAGAAAAGCAACACAATCCAATGGAATCTTATTTCAATTTTGGATTTGAACTAGGTGTAAGAACAGAAGAGAGGGATTCATTTAAGGGATCCTCTTTTGTTTGGTTTTGTTTTGTTTTCTTGCGTTGCTCTTCAGTTGCCTGAGAGCTGCCTCTGCCTTGGTGTTCCCCAATCACAGCTCACAAAAAAGCAGGCTCCAGACAGTACATCCGCCAAGCACCTCCCGTTTCTACCAGAGCATCCCAAGTAAGCAGTACTTCCGGGATAAGCCAACAGCAGTCCCAAGAGTTCAGCTTACAGGGCAGCAGCAACCACCAAACACCACAGCCCCTTCCTCTGTCATTCCTTTATTCCAGCTACCCATCCAGTGGGATCTTATGAAACAAAACAAAACCTAAAAGAAACACAAAATAAAACAGAAGTCATGCTCAAAAGAAAAAATCAGTGGAAATGAACATGTATGCATCATCACCTTTAAAAGAACATAATAATAAATAAATCGAAAATAAGACAACATGGAATATGCTTTAACACACAAAGCATCATATAATAACAGGACAGAAATTGGGAAGACATGTGCATCTCATTACTGAGTAAATTTGTTTTCAACTTAAAATCAGTTTTACATAAAACATGAGGACAAAATGCAGCAATTTCTACATACAACCCCACCCCTAATTATATCAAACATTGGTTGCTTTATTTCAGGAGGGCAATCTGTGTAAAATAAAAATGATCCCTGAAGAATGAACAAGTATTTGTTTATGTGGGGTCAAATTTGATTGGGCAACAAGTATCTGTCCAAATACTGATTCTCTTCATCAAATTATTAAAAAAAATAATCAAACAGTTACTCAGCAGGTGGGACAGAAAACTACATTGCTTAATACAAAGGTTTAGATTTCTTGTCAGGAATGTTAATATTGCTTAAACTTAAGTACATACCATACCAAATATATGACATTCATATAAGTCATAATAACCATATGTCCATAGCATGAAACATGAGGTATGTTATATATTATATTTGAATATAGTACATATACATTATATATTATATGTGAAAATATATGTATTTGGATATATTATATGTGAGTATATTCATGTCTATCTATATATTTATATTACACATCCATAACTTATATCCAATAAGTTAATTCTGGAAATACTTATTAAACACCAAAAAGCAGATGTTGTAATAGATGACACAAAAATAAGGAAGAATATGGAGTTGGTTGGCCACAAATATTTCATGGCCCCACAAGAGGTGAAAGATGAGTAAATAAGTCTAGGGCAAAATAACAAATCTCCTTTATACCAGGCTTTTTTTCAAGTGTGATGCCCAAATTGGCCTGTTGAATTTTATAATAATTCCTATGAGACAGGTCCTGCTATTATGCCTTCATGCCTTCATTACAAGTGAGGAAACAGGCTCAGTGGGTTAAGCAGTTTGCCCAAGGTCATACAACTGCTATGTGCTAGAGCTCTGATCCCAGCCTAGGAACTATGATTCTGTGTCACAGTACAAGAAAGAGATAAATTGAAGACAACTTCTCTCTGCACTTGTTCCTGAAAACCCACTAGGAATGGCAAAGGTTCTGGTACAAACCATTCTATGTGTAAATTGCATGAATCTTCATCCATTTCCCAAGTGGCAATAGAAGGCATCATATTAGAAAGCCCCAAGACATTCTCAAGCTGAGTTCTGGAAGGTTCCTCTAAGCCCAACCCTCCAGATTCTCAATCTTCCTCAACCTTCCTGGTGTCTGGTATGCCAAGTGTGGGTGTCCTCTGCCTCCAGAGCTGGAATCACCAACCCGGATCTGCAGCATCATTTACAGCAATGCTGAAGAGTCCACAAAGCTTAATTCCACAGCATTCTCTCCCCTGCTATTTCAAGTCACTGTAAAAGAACTCAGCAAGGTCACCAAACTTGGTTTTGTGGGTTTAATCACATACACAAAGCCCTGAGAATTTAAGAAGTACTAAGTGTGCAGATTTCTCCTATCTCTACATTTCTTCTCCTGCTCCCCTCCCCCTCAAAAAAAGTTTTGCCTCCAGGCAAACAGAAGCCAAACTAGTTTAAGTGTGCATTATAGCATGTAGGACACGCTCACCAAACTGGCCAACCACACTCCTTAATTACTCCAGGAAGTCTTAATCAGATGGGTCTCAAATTCCCTCCCTTGGAAACAATAGGATTAATGTAAGAATTTTACAGGAGAAATAAGGCAATAAAAATAGATTATACTTACCCCCATCCCCATTAAAAACAAAAACAAAAAACACCACAGTTGTTAGCCAGGTGCCAGTGGTTCATGCCTATAATCCTATCTACTCAGGAAGGTGAAATCTAAGGACTGAAGTTCAAAGCCTATGAGAGTCTTACCTCTAACCAGCAAAAAGCCAGAAATGAAACTGTGGCTCAAGTGGTAGAGCCAAAAAAGTAAAGGAACAGTGCCTAGGCCCTGAGTTCAAGCCCCAGAACTGGCACATACCACACACTCACACACACACACACACACACACACGCACACACACACACACACACACAAGCTGAGTGTCAGTAGCTCATGCCTATAATCCAAGCTAACCTTGAGCAAAAGTGCTTAAGGAACAGCACCCAGGCCCTGAGCTCAAGCATCAGGACAGAAATAATAATAATAATATATTAATTCTACATACTTGTTTTCCCTATATAATTATTTGGGAGGGTATTTAAATTCTCATAGAATAATAGACTCAATTAAGCTCTAAGAGCAAAGCCTCTTCTCCAGTTGAGTTATGTCACAGCAACTCTGAGATTTATACCAATGAGCATTTGCAAGGGAAACTAGGCCACCCTTCTTTGCCTCTGTTTGCCATTTTCCTACCTTAGGACCCTTTCTAGGCTCATTAATGATGACTATTAGGAGACAGAATTTGCTTCTCTTGATGCCAGCTCTTCAGGAACACCATGACTGCTTTTGCCCTTATTGAAATGGATATGTTCCTCATACAGCCTCTTCATCTGGACTTCGTGATATGTCCATTCTTCCCAAAGAAACAAGAGTTCAGTTCCACACTCGAGATGCAAACTCCATATGAACACACAGGATACCTTCCTTGTGAAGTACACCATTACAATAGGGTCTATATTTAGGCTGTGCTTTCTACCATTCCTCACTTCCAGCAAGGAAAGTCAGTCTCTCCTCTTCTCTCCTCTTTGATACCCTGCATCTTCACTCACTACTGATATCTCACCACATATTGAAACAGAGTTGACACTTTTTTTGTACTAATCTTAGGGCTTAAACTCAGGGCCTGGGAACTCACTGTCCCTGAATTTTCTTGAAGTCTAGCACCCTACCACTTAAGCTATAGCAATACCTCCAGTTTTATTGGTGCCTATTTGTAGATAAGAGTTTCACAAACTCCTGCCCATGCTAGCTTTGGACCATAATCTTCAGATCTCAGCCTCCTGAGTTGCTAGGATTATAGGTGTGAGCCCCTGGCACCCGGCAAGAAACTATGCCTACCACTTCATAATTCTAAGTGATTGACAGATTCAATCACAGCCCCAATTTATCTATCAGGATCTTATAACTTCTACCCTTTCATCAAAAGGGGAGAGGGAAACAACAACAACAACAACAAATCCCACAAAAATTTAAATCCTCAAGAAAAGGACCAGAAAACAATAGATCATTATTTTCTTCTAGTGAGGGGGAAAGTTTTTAGACCACAACAAATGGCTGAACATCTTGTGGGCTTAGCAGCCAAACGAGCTGTCTAGCTTCTGAGCCCGAAATATAGATATATTTTGACAATGTGACATTCTGAAACATTCGCAGCATTCCAATGGTGCATGGTGGTTTCCGTGAGATCAGTTCCTCTATAGAAAACAACTTTGGAAACACTTTGTCACTGCTGTGTATGTTAGCTAAACTAAACAGGAAGAAGGCTGAAGCAGGTGCAGTCGGAGAAATGAGAAGGAAAATTGAAGGGAGAGAAGGCAAAAGAACGGATGTGGCCTAAAACAGGATCTCAATTTGCTGATTTAGCACTGTCCTCTTCAAAGGGATGGACTGAGGAGAGGTCTGAGGGTCAGTGAAGTGCTCTGCTTTTCTACCATTGGCTCTCAACCCATTGAGATTTATTTACATTCAAACGTGCACACATGTTCCTTCTATTACTCAGAGGCAATCAGCCATAAAATGGCAAGGATCTGCAGTACATTTAAATTAACAGCAATTTATCTGGATCAAAAAGGAAAACTGCTGAGTCCAGAGGAAGCTGAGGGAACGGAAGAAAGATACAGCTGCTATCTAAAAAAGCAAATCTTATCACATTTGTCACTTGGAGAGTTCAAGCAGAAAACTGCCGACTTGGGCAACTGTGTGGCAGAGTGCCACCACGGAAACGGTGTGGTGGCTAGGACTTCAGAGTGGCCATTTACCTTCATTGGAAAGCATGAAGAATTCTTCCTGAGTCTTGTGGAAAAGTGTTGGCTTGGTAAAATCACATGATAAACATGGAGTGCCTAGAAAATAGTGGGTTCAGAAGCTATCCATCACCAAGTTTTATATGAGTCAGTTATAATTTTGCCCTGTTTCAACACCTAGGTTAACATATCAATTTCTCTAAGTTTGCTTTTTGTGAATCCCTAGTATCTGTTAGTTAATGACAACTATCTCTTGCTGTTGTGGCTTTGGTTTTTTTTTTAAGTTTTCTAGGACTCAGTCCATGTAGATATGATGTGCCCAAAATTGCCCAAGAATGAGTGAAAGAGCTGATGTCTAAGCTGTGAATCTCTGGATCATCAGTCTATCTTTTACAAAGGTAGCTTCTGCACTTGTAATAGATATTCCCCAAGCCCTTCAGTTTAGATCCTGTTCTTTCTCTACTCAGCCAAGATGTGTAAAAACATTCTCCAAGCATCCCTTCTGCTTTTAAGGATGTGCCTTGTCCACAGGCCATGTCTTATCCTGAGGACTCCTTCCAGCAAGCAAGTTCCCCTTCTAATGCCTGGACTGCTCTTCAGCTCCTATATAAAAGCCACCTCCTATAGGGATGTATTTTATCCTCCTAGTGGTCTAGACTCAGCAGCCTTCTTTTGTACTTGCTTTTCTTTTGTAATTTTTCTGAATCCCAATTGCAAATAACCCTTAACTGACCAGCACTAACACACAAATATCAAGGACAGAATGAATTTGGTGATTCATCATAATGATGTCTGAATTCTGAGTTTTATTGGAGAACTCTAGTGCACTCAACAGCAGACCTGAAATGGAAGGAAAGAAAGGCCAATGCAACATTGCTTTTCCTGGCCAAATGGGTGCCTCCACTCCCTGGAAAGCTGAGAAGAAAGTCATACACATTTTCAATACAGTAAAACCTTTAAAGATGAATACA